TTTACTTTTTTTCTCTCGACGGTTTTGGAGCGTAAAACACGAAAAGCCACCGATAAAATATCCGGCTTCTCATCTGTAATACAATAGAATTTTTTTCCGGCGATCTCTCGAATGGACGACAATCGGCTTTTTTCCCTGTTGTAACAGATCAATAGCTACTTATCAACTTCACGGCGATTAACTAAAAACATTATTTGTAATAAATCGTCGAAAAGCAATGAATGCGGTTACCGTTATGCAGTTTATTGTGGTTGTATAAACAACCAATGGAAGAAGTTGTTTCAGTTGTGGTTTTTTAACGGTGAAAATTCAACAATTTATACCATCGATTTAATAGATTAATTTATGGCCGATTTCATAAAGGATATAAATGTGATTCTTCAACTTTAATAGATCATTTAGTAGATGTAATTGATTTCATAACCAACTTAAAGAATCCTAAGCAATCTTTATCAATAAAGGAACATTTTTATGTATTAAGAAACTATTCATTTATCCTTCTCCTGAAGGAAGCTTTAAAGCTTTATGAAATCTGGTAAAAGAACAAGAGATTACCAATACTTTATTGTGAGTTGTCTTGTTATTTTGCCGTATATTAAAAGAGTGTACTAAGGAATAGTGCACATAATCCATAAATTTAGTTAAATAAGTTTGCAAGTTTTCGCCATATTACGTTCTCGTTAAGCACATTGTGGCAAATCATTCTAAGTACGGCAATAACTGCCACATCCGAAACATCCTCTCAAAAGGACAACTGTAATTTATATCCAACGGCAAGCGCATTCGGAGGATTTGGATTTTACAAATCTCAAACAAGAGGAATTTAAAAATCTTCCTCGAACCATTAAACTTCTCATCGTGGAAAAATATCGCCGCAACAATTCGTTTACGGGCGCACATTTTTAGAACACAATGTCATATTTGCGTCATTACTTTTTAAAATTGAGTAATTTATTACCGACTCCCTCGTGTGGGGTTGGCGTTTATATTCGTATTCATTGACTCAACTGCGCGTTCTCGCCGGAGGATAAAATTAATTTCGAAAGTATTATTATATGTTGAATAAATCTTCGTGTATAGTGAACAATATTACTTAAAGAAATATCGCATAAATACAACAATTAATTTTCATTTAAATTATATATTAACACACCTACAAAAAATTATAAAAAGCTGTTTAAATAATGTATTAAGAGTATATTTTGGTAAATTTTTTATGGGTGAAAAATTTGCTCTTTTAAGATAACCCCTCATTGCATCCTGCAACAATGCCTCCCAACGCCTCTTTTAGGCTTTTATCGCGGCATTATGGAGCGTAAAGGCCTCTAACGACCTTAGGGTAGAATATGTGTGTCGCATGTATATCATTTCGAAGCCATTAGGGACAATAAGAATTAATAGCGCTGAAACCGCAAAAAGCAATTTGCTAAGAAAGATCGAATGTATTGCAACTTCTACGGGACACACTTCGTATAAATATAACTAATTACTGGATTTTGCTCATTTCGATAGCTTCTAGAACTCATTATATATCTTGGGCGAGTCTTTGTGGAATCAAATTAGCTAATTTATTTTGTTGTAATAAATCTAATATTCTCAAGATTTACTTGCAATTAATGCAACATATTTCCTACACCTTTAATCAATATTAATGCTTTTAAAAGGTTTTTTTCATCAATGAGAACAATTTGTAGGTACAATAAATCCCTAAATTCCCAGATTTACAGAGCTATCTATAAATTTTTCATTGCCTTTAGGTATTTATTATTCTGGTAAAGTTCTTGAAACTAAATTCAATTTCCACTTCGCAAATACCCTATTCGAGTGCAGTGTACATTCCCGTACCGTGTAATTTATGTGTAAACCTCATTTTGGGAAAATCAATTTCGAAATCGAATCAATACAGTAAATTGATTTTAAACATAAAATAGAAATAATATAGCATAATGCGTCGGCGTCTATTGTCGATCGAATCTAATATACGAGAATAATGCAATCAATTTCGAGCCGAAGGAATAACTAAACCTACAAAGCGGTTATTTCAATCTAAAATTTAATGATTAAAGAAAAAAAAATCGGTTACTAAAAATGAATATTGTCGAATATTTTGCCTTTCATAATTGATCTCCATTCATGACTAATTGATTAAATGATAAAAGACCGCTAGATGACCCTGTTACTCCGGATAATTTGAGGGATAGTAATACTGTAAATTTAAGGAAAAATTAATGATATTTCGAACTCACACAAAATATCGTAAATTCGCTCGATAAATTGAAAATCACACAAACAACCCCCGTTGTATAACATCGATCCCAAACAAGTACGGTCCACGTTCGGCTCAACTTCCAGCGTGAAATTTTTATTTAATGATTTCGCAAAGGTATTTCGAACACAATAGAAGCTCAAAAGGCCGCTTCACGCCATGGCCAGTGCCAGTACACACGAAATGAAACACCATTACGGCACACAAAGCTGTGGGCAGAGGAAAAAAATCTAAGAACAACAATGGATTACTAATAGATGTGCTCAACTCAAATTATGGTCGGCTGTTACGGAATTAATTAAATTTCGAATAACGCGCTGCAAAAGGGATACTCGCACGGCGATATGTGTGAAATTAATGCCTCTTTTAATGTGTAAGAGACGCGCTGCATTGCATATGAACCATCGGAATTTGTTTTCGATGCGGTTATAAATCGAAGTAAAATTTTATGCAGTCCCGTAAATTGTTTAGTTGTTGAGTTAGGTATCTGCTTACCAACATGAAAAACTATCCATTTTTTTTCGCTTATTCCTAATTTGATGGGAGACTTTTTAAAATGTATGGTGAGTTCTAACAGATTATATTTTATGTATATTATTCATCAGAATTTTCATATTATAAGCAAAAAGTCGATACGATCAAATTGACGCCTATTGACAACCTCGCCTTTATTTCGTTATTGTTTTTATTGTCAGTTTATTGTCTATAATCTACCGTGTCCATTGGAAATTTAACACACCTTTGCCTTTGATGTAGACAAATGGTTTTTAAATATTCAAATTAAGAAGAGTAAGGTGAAACTTGACGAAACATGGGAGGTATGAGTCGCTTTTTGATTGAGATTGAGATTAGCTCTGGTCGGCATTCAAAAATGAAAGGCGACTCGTTTAAAAGTCGTCAAGCGTTTTAATTAAATTATTTTAATAAATTTCAATCTTTCATTTCGTATACACAGGGTGCCTCGTAAACGCTTGTGTATATTTGTATATAAATTTTTTTTTCACACTTTGATTCCTTTCTAAGTATCTTATTCGATTAGATCTATAAGACGCGTTATTCGCCAGTAAATTCAATAGAAACATTTAACTTGCTAGTTTATTTTGCATACAATTCAAGCCTGCATTTTTATCGCTCATTTGTATAGGTAAATCCAATCGGTATTAACATAACCCAAATCCAATTCGTATGTAAATTCTGTTGTTCTCAGCTCTCGTTCTCAGAGTGTAAAACTCGACAATAAAACTTAACCACATTTTTATGACGTCAATAATTTGGTATAAGGAGCTGACAGGACGTAAACGGCCATTGTGTACTTCAGCCTTTTAAAAGCGATACTTAAGAACCCGTAAGCACAAAGAAATAAATTGAACGAAAGATAAAATAAATTAGTCACGAAACGTTACGATTTTCTTTTTTCATCAAAACGTTTAGTTGCGTTGTTTGTAGAACTAATTCCGATTTCTCCCACAAAATTCTATATAAAACTTTATATACCTAATTACAAATAATGTAATCGGGACATTTATATACAGAGCCCCTCGCAACATATTCACCGGCCGGTCCTGCGCCGGGGCGGTATATCAAACACCTCAAAAGCTGCGGGGCCTTTATTGTGCGACTTAAAAAGTACATACCTCCCGCTTAGATCATAATATGGTTTAACAGACACCTAACCAGCGGCCTTTCTCAAAAGCACAAAACACAAAATATGTTTTATGGCTTGTAAAGAGTCATGTTGACTCAAGCGATTTCGATTTCGATTTCGAACTGTCACAAATTAAATAACTCACAATAATGGGAATTTATTTATTTGTATAGCGGAGCAGCGAGACAAATCTGGTAGACTTTTCGTCGGGAGATGGTTTTTTCATTCGAATATAACAGGTGAACGAATCGGATATACATAGGTGCTCAAAATGTGATTTTATTGCAATGAAAATTTAAGGTTGTATACTAACAATTTTTAATTTCTATACTATCTTGCATCAGAATCACAGCCCTATATTTCTAAGGTCTGGAATCTCTCTATTCTTATATGCATTAGAGAATATGTCCCGTTATTTAAGGACTTTTTGAGCTTCACTTTTGCGCCGCACCGTGGCGAACGATCGGAGGACCAACTTATCTTATCCAATCAGCGTCGCGCTACATATAAATCGCGGTTGTGTGAAATGACAGTTCGAGCTGTCAAAACTTAAAAAAATATTTTTTGACACTTCGAGGAGAAAATGGAGAAATACAGTAACAGAAAATACGTGAGGCATGATGTTTACAACAAAATCATCGCTGATTTAAGTATATTTTTATATTTTGTATCTATTTTTAGTTTGAATAAAACCTATCTTAATGCTACTTCTACATAATTAGTACGCAAAAAACCGGGGTCCTTTACAACATCGCCTTCTAGCGGCCGTTTTAGGAACCCTGTTTTATCCTCAAATAACGGGACACTTTTTCGACCCATGATTCCAGACCTTAGAAATATAGGACCGTGATCAGAATGTAGGGAAATTTACTCTTTTGGGGAAAGTGTCAAGACGAGATATACGGTTTTGAAAGAAATATATATTTAGGAAGATTTAAGAAACAAGCATTTATTGTGACAAAAAAAAAATTCTTGATGATCTCTAGATAAACATGATCAATCCTTAACTTAAGCTGTCTTTCATTGGCCAGGTTTTTGGTTTATACTATCCTGATCGGTTTATACTATCAATACCCTCAATACTCTGCCTTAACCTTTCAATATTCTCAATATTCTCGAAACCTTGCCCAATACCTTCAATACCCTTAATATTCTCAATTTCCTCAATATCCTCAATATTCTCAATATTCTCAATATCCTCAATATCCTCAATATCCTCAATATCCTCAATATCCTCAATATCCTCAATATCCTCAATATCCTCAATATCCTCAATATCCTCAATATCCTCAATATCCTCAATATCCTCAATATCCTCAATATCCTCAATATCCTCAATATCCTCAATATCCTCAATATCCTCAATATCCTCAATATCCTCAATATCCTCAATATCCTCAATATCCTCAATATCCTCAATATCCTCAATATCCTCAATATCCTCAATATCCTCAATATCCTCAATATCCTCAATATCCTCAATATCCTCAATATCCTCAATATCCTCAATATCCTCAATATCCTCAATATCCTCAAATCACTCAGTAAGTACACTCAATACTTTCAATATCCTCAACTCAACCCTCAACCATCAACAATTCTCTCAACACCCCTTAAGTATGCAAGTTCATAGTTTATGCAAATCTTCCCATATGCATGATGTCCCTCGGGAAATCATCAGGCTCATTATAATCCGGGAATCGACCGAAGCTATTTACGCTGAACCTACTTAAGATCAAGCAGCGACATAAACGCGACATGATCAAGTCGCATTCGCGGGATATGCACGGCTCGCATATCGCATATCGCATCGAAACGAACAATCGCATTTGCGCGCAGCATGTCCCATCGAATCCAATATCCTCGTTGGCAGTAACTACGCCCACATGGCAACACCGTCCGATATCGGCATAGCGGGGCGTTCTATTCACAGACTCAACAGACAACAGAGAACACATCACTAATGTTGTCTTTAGCGGTATGTTTTTAATTTGGCGGCGGGCTATTGCACACAGCCGGCAGGAATAATTCACAGTTTAATCTGGCTCTTCTTTAGAGTTTCAAAATTTCTTTTATTTACGGTGTTCTAATCAACTATTAAATAAAACGTTGTATCCAGATTCTTATTGAGATTCTCCAGATTTCTCCATGATACATTTTAAAAGTACATCAAACACCCCTTCCTGAACTAATAAATTATCTTATTAAGAAATAATTTTACAATAAATTATTCAGATTCCTCAAAGTAAATATACTGATCCACAAAAGTTAAGGAATTTCACAAATATTGAGATTAATTTAAAAGTAGCAGGTTCTTTGATTGCCAAATTTAATATGAGTTGTATTAGAGGTATTAGGGGCAAAAAATCCACTCAGATATGAAAGAAAACATGTAATTTCGCATCTTTGAAAATTTGGTGATCAAAAAATCTGTAACTTTTAAAATAATCGCAAAATTTGTGAACTTCCTTAACTTTTGTAGAACAGTTTATCTCTTCATGATCATCAATTTTATTAGAGAATTGCGCATTGATGTGATATCCTATCTTAATCGTAGGTAAATAAAATTAAAAAAAAATATGGTGTTGTCATGGGTGCAATTTAATCTCGCCCGAATTTCGTACACCTGGTCGATCAGGAAACCTACATTTAGTCGCTCCCCGCCGTTCTAAACAATAGGCGGCCCGTAATAAATCACCCGGAGCCGAGAAAGAATTTGTAAAACACGAGAACGCGGTGTTGATTAAAAGAACGCACCACTGTGCTGGTGGATATCCAGAGCAAACACCAAGAAGTGTCGGCGGATAAATTGGGACGGGACCGATTTCAAGCTTTGGTGGGTATAATAGCCGGAGATCGATATAGGCGATTAGAACGGAAACCTCGTAGGTGCTTATTACAAGCCCGAAAATATCCACAAAAAATATAATAAGTTTCGTTTGAATATGTTTGATGTTTTTAATGATAAAAAAAACTGATCTTGTGCATAATTTAAGTATACCTACATCAGGCACAATTGAGCAAAATCTTGAGGAAAAATTGAGGAAAAATAATTTGCCTTATCGTTGGCTCACCCAGTGTATATTCCAGTTATTGTGATATTTATATGTAAGGTAGACTGGGGCAAATCGGTTGTAAAATTTGAATAGTTCAAATTAAATCCTAAAATGTGACTTCATTTTTTCTCTTATTAGAAATGCTGATACCATATTAAATTCACAACTTCCTAAACTAAAGAGTCGAGGTATTAAAAAGTTTTTTTTTGAAAAAGGAAGAAAACGATTTTAATTTACCCCATGCATGGTACGGGGTAAATGTAACAAACGGTTCTAAAGTGCAATACAATTATATATAGAAAAACATATGGGGCAATTGTAAATACATATTTGGTTTCTCTAAAATTTGATATGCTGTTTATTTATTAATTTCAAAAAATAACAGAGCTACATAATAATAAAGAAAAAATAAGAAACAAACCCTGTCTAATGCACAAAAGAACTATAAAAATAATAAAAACATTAACATAATAGGTAAAAATATTACATTTACCCCATTTTTACATTTTCCCCAGTCTACCTTACTTACATTTACATAAAAATATCTAGAAATAAAAAGATTTTTTCTAAAACTGTAACACACTGTAGCTCGAAAACTAAGAGGTTTAGAACATATATGATATAAACTTTTCTTCTTAAAATCACCCAAATATTCACATCCTGAAGTATGGCACTCAATTAATTAACAATTCTTATAAATAAGCATTTTTACTTGAATCTGCAGGTATTTTATTTCATTTTATTTTTCATCAAAATCAAAAGTTTTATAGTAGGTACCCACCTATAATAACTGAATAAATTGAATAATAATTGAAACAATTTATTTTTTATTAAAAAATACCGTTTCAAATTTATAACTTTTAATAGATTATTGATCGATTCTGCTTATGTATACATCACAAAGCCTCATATTTGGGCCTTTTGAAATAGTTTATATACCTGTTTGTTGACACAAAAATTAGACGAGCAAACCCATAAAGAAACGTCGGCCGGCCGGGGACGGTTGTAAATTCAAAAATAATTCACCATAAAGCGAATTCTTTTAACTGGGTTTACCTCGAAACGAACACCGTTGATTAATGAGATGGGTTCCAATTTGTAGGTAGCTTAATATTATTATGGTTCCTAATGCGCTCCGAAATAAAAACGCATCACCTCACCATAAAAAGTCAATTTGCGGCTTTAAGGACCTATAAAAGAAAAAATCCCTGCCATAGAGCATGTTAAACGTTGGGCTGGGTCGAGCTTTGATCACAAAACGTAATTGGTTAACCTGGAGAGGCTGTTGGTATTATAAGTTGATAAATATAAATTTTAATTGTTGTGTAATAGAATCAGACAGAAAAAAATTACAGCAATTTTTTTTGTTTTGCTAATAAATAGGTGCAATTCTAGGCGGTATAGATAAATCATTGAAACAAACTATCCCTTTTGCCGTTCTTTTTTGTCGACTTTCGAGGTAAATGTACCAACAAAACCAATAAATATCCTTCGAAACGCAATTGTACTCCAGCATGTACCTTGAAAGTGCAACTAACCGTACCTAAAACCACTATAACATCCATAAACCATCCGACAAGACTTTCAACTTTAGCCGCAGCTTCTATGCACCGCTGATTTATGTGCGAAGGGGATGTTTTGACACTCCCCTGTGCTTAGTTGACAAAATATTAGGCCAGAATTACATTCTATTAATGACGACAATTGAACATCGCGCGTTTCTAATTGATACGTTATGGACTTTCATTGAAAACTAATATAGCGTCGGGCATTAGTCATGATCTCGTGCATCCATATGGGAAACGTTATTTTCCTTACGGCGGGCGCGCTTTTACGGCCATCCGGGGGACAATAGTTTGAGCTTTTTTATGTTGTAGTCGCATAGAGTTTGATGAGCGTGAAAGGGAAGCAACGAATCGCTTTTCGGGGATGACAAATTGCATTACAGCTTTGTGAAATGTTATTCGATTGTAATTCCAAACAGATATGATAATGTGATCATATTTTGCAATGTAGTTCTTGATGCCCAAATCTCGAAAAATTTGTGTAAAGATTACACCATTTATTGTTTCCGAAATGTTGGTATTTTATTTAATTTCATATGGTTTATACAGGGTGGCACATTAGTATGGAAAAGCTCAATATATCTGTTATTATAGAAGATATCAAAAAAACTTCATTACATAAGTTGTAGATCTTTTTAAGCTGCATATTTTAAAATTAGTTACATTTATACAGAGTGTCCCGTTTTTCCGTAATAGATCAAACTTTTATTTTTTTAAATGGAACACCCTGTTTTTTATTTAAAAATTGAATTAAGCTCGTTTTCAGAGTTGTACATTTTCAGGATATTTGCAATGTTGTGAAACCTGAAATTTATTTTCAATACAATCCATTTAGTTTCTACAGAGTGTTAAACTTAGTACGATTTTCGTGGAAAAGTGGTCATAACTTTTAAATCACTCAGTATAACGTTGTACAAAATTATATTTTTGGAAAGCTGAAAACGAGCTTAATTCAATTTTTAAATAAAAAACAGGGTGTTCCATTTAAAAAAGGATAAGTTTTGAGTTTTTAGGTTAGCAGGTTTTTTGATCGTCAAATTTAGTATAAATTGTAGAGGAAGGTGCAAAAAATCCACTTAGATATGAGAGAAAACATTTAATTTCAAATATTTGAAAATGGTGATCAAAAAGACTGTAACTTTTAAAATAATCGCAAAATTTGCGAACTTCCTTAACTTTTGTGGAGCAGTTTATTACACACTATGTAAAAAATAAATTCGAAAAAGTAATGGACAAAAAAAATAATAATTTTGAAATACTACATACAATTTTATAACTTAGATTGTCGGTATAAGATATACTAATGTTTCGAAAAGATATACCTAACACCTGTTTCATCAAGAATAATGTCAAATTATCCCAGCAGATAAATTTCGTGCACAATCATGCGATTTACAATAAAATTTACCATTCCTTTTCACTATTTGCCTACCCTACATTTCGCAATAACATATAGAAATAGATACGCCGGTGAACCGTAAATTTCGAATGTTTTATGCCGGATTCGCGTGCGCAATAATTCATAAAGGCCGCGGATTTCCTATTGTTCTTCGAACTACGGGCATCATTGTTGGCGTTAATTAGTAACAACAATAGGAAGGAAATCTGAATACTATAAAGAGATCTATCGACAGCTAAAATTACGGCTATAAATCCTGCTCTAAACGTAAATCTGTTGGCAGCTCCTTATCTCTTCGGAAAACATTTGCGGAATTATTTCTATTCCAACTGAATGATCATAAATATGCATGCATCAAAATACGCCAGGTGTAAATTAACTTTGTTATTTACTATTTTCCGATGCTCTCATGATACCTTGTCTCTTACAGGTATATTTTATATCCATTACACTTTAAACAATATATACATATAGATCTATGCATCAGAGAAATTCAACCAGATCTCGTAAC